TCTTTCAGACAGAATAAACCGCATACCTGGTGAAACTCAGCTTAACTACTCTGTGGTCTGCCGCTCATTACCACAGAAAATAATTTAGACTCATTCCTCAAACCCGAGTTCAGTGGTGCATTTACAACCACATGCTTTTATTAAAGCAGTTTCAGTTCAAAAGCAAACGACCTTCTCGACTCGTAGGTGAATGAACTGCTGGTTATGCGTCACAGATGATTTTGCTCCAGATAAACCGCTTTGAGGATAGTTTTGTCACATCCCTGCCTGCATCTGTCAAGCTTCCAGATTTACATGGATGTGAAAACTTTATTCGAAAACGGTTTATTTGAACACTTATTCCACAAGTCACAGAAGCGCCCTGTAGATATTACGAGGCATTTAAACACAGATCATGAGCAAACACAGGTGTTCCTGGTGAGGCATGTTCTTACCCAGCTGCTGTAAGGTCGCGGCCTTCACCTGCGCAGGTAAATCCTCCGTCTGCAGGAGACTCTCACAGGCCTCCTTGGCCGCGCGGTATCTCTTCTGTGACGCAACAAAACCAGACAAGACATTCATCAGTGTACGTGAACTAACCGGTAAACACGCAGTCTCTCTGAACATCTACAATCACACGCAATGGTTTTGCTCAGTTTGGCATCACAAACGCACTCAAACAAAACCCTACATGACAAATCGTTCATGTCACGTGATACCGCGGTGAACGCTCAGGAAGCAACACCACGGCAACCCCTCTCCTGTTGCTATGGTAACACGACCCGAACGCTGAGCTCTAGCATCCCCTTCACAAACACGATTTCATGCATTAACATCAATTACAAGCAGCACTCATTTATATGTGCGGTCAGTGAAAGAAAGAGACATTAATGAAGGACTCACCTGAATCTCGTATAAATGCGCAATGTGAAACTGAACTACAAACAAAAACACAAAAACAACAATTAGCAGCAAATTCAGAACAGAAGATTTTCTTTTTGAATGATTCTGATGGAGAAAATCGTGAAAAACATCTTCCTTTGCCCAGTGAATGACACAGAGGTGAGACGGCCCTTCATGTCCCTGTGTGTGTGTGTGTGTGTTCACTGTGTGTGTGTGTGTGTGTGTGTGTGAGAGAGAGAGAGAGTGTTCAGTACTCACTGTGTGTGTTCACTGTGTGTGTGCGTGTGTGAGAGAGAGAGTGTTCAGTACTCACTGTGTGTGTGTGTTCACTGTGTTTGTGTGTGTGAGCGAGTGTTCAGTACTCACTGTGTGTGTGTGTGTGTGTTCACTGTGTTTGTGTGTGTGTGAGAGAGAGAGCAGTACTCACTGTGTGTGTGTGTGTTCTGTTCACTGTGTGTGTGTGTGTGTGTGTTTTCAAGTTCACTGTGTGTGTTCAGTACTCAATGCTGTGTGTGTGTTCACTGTGTGTGTGTGCTCAAGTTCACTGTGTGTGTGTGTGTTCAGTACTCAATGCTGTGTGTGTGTGTGTGTGTGCACTTGGATGGGTGGAATGCAGAGCATAGATTCTGAGTATGGGAAACCACACTTGGCCACACGTCACTTTCACTTTTCAACACTAATAATAATTCTCAGCGCATGCGTCCTAAACTGATAACAGTATCTAGTCAGCGTTTCCATGTGACGTGTGCATGTTTACTCAGATGTGTGTAACGTGACATTATATCGAGATGTTGGTGCGGTACTTACTCTCAGCTTTGGACAAAGAGCAGTGATTGGAGTCGATGAGCGCCAGCTGAAAGTGCTGCAGACACACAGGAGACCGAAGCATCTCTCATTACCAGACGGACATGTTAACAATTGATGAAGGCACTTTAAATGCCTGCATATACTGCAGTTCATTAACGCAAATCAAAGAGTTTAAGCACAAACACACAGCAGACACATCCAGGAAACTGAGCTACTTCTAGTGAAACTTCAGTTCAAGATGACAGTCAAAGCACAATCCTACATTAAAAATGAATTACACAGAATAAATACAAGACAGAAACAAGCAAAAATTCATCTAATACTAAATGTGCTGCCCCTTTGACTCCTGCAATAGATCAGGTCTCACGTCTGAAGCATAACGGCCGTTTAGATTGACAGCAGCTGTCCAGTCTCAATAAGACATTATAATTCAGCCGCATTCACGGTCTGTCAACAGATTTACGTCATTCATGTTTGCCGACATGTCAGAGATCACATCAGGATGACTGACTGCAGTTGCTGTGATGCGTAGATGTTTCCATGTAAATCACAGAAATTCACCAACATCACTGAAAACCTACCACACAGACACAGATGCTCGTGTCGTACCTTTAAGCTGGACTCGTAGTCCGTGTTGACTTTGAACATCAGGCCGAGACGCAGATGAATCTCTTTAGCGCGAGAGAAGCCGGGGTCGATGTACAGCACCTCCTGAAACGCCTTGATCGCCCTGAGAGCAAACAAACCGCAATTAAAAACTCACTCCTGAACAGCACAAAGCGTGACCGTCATGTCAGCGTGTAACGGTGCTCCTGAATAAGACTGAATTTACTGACGGCAGGTAAACGCAGACGTGCGTGGATTAAAATGTGAGGAATCTCTCCGAATCAGCCTGAATATTGCCATGGAAACCGTCTGCCCACCCCCTGATGCCCATCTGAGCTCGTTAACCTCGTCACATGAGCGCTGAAAACTAGAACATGACATTATCGTGTGCAGATACTCACCACTGAAACGCATTGAAATGGAAGTAAACCATCCCGAGGCCGTACAGAAAGGCAGCATTCTAGAGGAAGAGAGGACGCAGTGTTTGAGATTCAGAGCAAAAATAATCAGACATCCACATTCAACAAGGTCAACACACTGACCGGATCAGCCAAAGTGAAAACCACACAGGAAGATCCCACTACAACGGTCAACACACACACACACACACTCTCTCACACACACCCTCTCACACGCGCACTCTCACACACACACGCGCACTCACAACAATCACTTTTACATAACCACCTCTGAAATCATGAAGAGCAAACCAATATCTAAGCAGAACTTATATTTAACCCTTCTTTCTCCAATCTCTGAGCTCACTCTTCCTTCACTTTATTTTTGGATGATGTACAGACTGCAGACAGCATATGCAAACTCTGTCCTCTTAACAAGTGTCCGGCTGACCACTAACTAAACAGTCTGATTACAGGACCTGAGTGAGGACCACATCAATGTGCTATAAATCACACACACACTTATGTTTGAATTCATCAGCTGCTCACCTTCCAGTAGTCTGATTGTAAACTGTAGTACCGCTGATACGCCGATAATGCTGCAACAAAAAGACAGGCGTGTTAGCTGAAGCTCCTCAGACGCTCTGTGGATCAGAACAGAGCATGCGGCGAGTGAATCGCTTCTCAGCACCTTTCGGATACTCCTCCAGTAAGAGGTTGAAATGACCCAGCTGGCAGAAGAACTCGGGATCCACTTTTCCTTCAGCTTTCAGGATGAGAGACTCGTAGCAGCGAACAGCCTGTGCGAGGAAACACATTCAGCGTTACCATCTCACACACCAAAGAAATTAATAATACAAACGAATTATGAATACATCATTCTTCAATAAAAAACTTGTGAAAAAGAATAGTGTGACATTTAAAGTCCCTGTAAAGTCAATTCTGAGAATTGTTTCTAAACGCATAATGTTACAAATGTATTGCTGAGACACGTTACAAAGACTGAATTCTGTAGTACTGAATAGTGGAGTTCGACCGTTAAACAGTTTTTCACCAATTCTGTGTTCAGGATTTTTTGGGCGGTCCTCTGAATTGGATTCTGGCTCTGGCGGCTCAAACATGTATGGCTTTGTAAATCCAATTAAGCTGCTAGGAGCATCCATTCAGGCTGTATAGCGGGATTTGACAGTTATTAGGCGGCAGCTTTCCCGCGAGTGGGCGTGGTTTCAGAGCAGACAGCGGACACGCCCCCAGCGTTTGAGAGCAGAGGATACCGCCCATTTTTTCGAGATTTTGATAACTTATTTTATGCACTTAGTGGATTTTATCATTCAAATTTGGCTGAGCGGTTAATAATAAATTTTTCTGTGGTGTGACAAACTCAGAACACATACTTAATATTAACTTTACAGGGACTTTAACTCTTACGAGAACCTGAACAGACGAGGCATTGCATTCTATGGTTATATTCTCATCAGAAAAGATAAAAAATTCAGTAATTCACAAGACGTCAGTAAACCAGGATAACGGACACTTTAGACTAGCGATCTGGCTTAAATAAATGAACGACACCACTGCAGCGCTCAGAGTTGACCAATCATGTGTTTCATATCGGCCTGTCAATCATTTTGAGCCTCCAATAAACAAACACCAACACTGGAAACGCTGTTTCTATTTCACTCACGAGAGCGAGAATCACGACCCGTCAATGATTAACCCGCTCAGATTTCCTTGTCGCTCACACACTTTTAGTTCTGGGAAACTCTGTAGATGAGGTTTAGGACACAATGTCCTCTCGTCACGACCCCAGTAACCCCGACGTGCTGGAGACGGCCTAATCAGAGCCACTCGCACAGCTGAATCACCAATACAGCCAACAATCCCACACATGAATGAGTAACTGAATGTCAGATGAAGTAACATTCACTGAAGCAGCAGGCGTTCGGTTATTTCCAGACACGCAGGAGTTTTAACACTCAACATCCATGAACAACAGACAGAACGTGAGATCCTCTGCTTACATCTGGACATTTACAGACACATGACCGCTAAGATGCCATTAAAGCCATCCACACCTGCAAACAGCCGTGAGTGTTATGTCAGACAGTGGTTTGGGTCTTTCTACCATCACAAACGAGACCAGCAGGCTTATGATCTCAAAAACAGCTAAATCGATTCATAGCCAATTCAAGCCAATATCACGACTGGAGAGAATGTGTATATTACAGCAAAAGGAATTCAAATAAACACTAGTATTCAAATTAGTCTGACTAACGCACAAGGGTATGAGATAACGCCTGCGTTTTGTTAACTAGGTTAAAACAAGCCTCTGGTGGGTAATAGACACGGTTCCCACCGTCTGTGACTGACACACACTCATTTACCAAAAAATGCTCGTTCTAACATCATTTTCTCGCCCTCATGTCGATCAAACCTTCAGGACTTACTTTCTTCCGTACAACACAAAATAGATGATGTTTGGAAGAATGCTGAGAACCAAGCAACAAAAACACACTGACTTTTTTATAGAAGCTAAAACACTTCAGAATATCATCTACTTTGTGTTCCACAGGACATAAAGGTTTGAACGACGTAAGGGCGAGTAAATGATGTTAGAACGATCATTTTTGGATGAACTGTCCCTTTAAGCAGTGAATGTGAACATGACATCACGTTTGGCTCGCGACCCCACCAGATATAAAACTCAGTGCACAAGTGCTTTTCCCTACAAATGCATGTTCAAACATCAACCCGGCTTCAGTCAGCGAGGATCTCTGAAGGTCAGCTGGCCGAGCTGTGTTACATAAGCACTCACGATCTAAAACCACCTTCCACATCACAGCAGTAACTAGAGAAACGTGGAGCATGACGCTGTTATTTTGGTGTGCTGACTACGGTTCTGCTCAGCACAGACAGCGCAGGACATCACCGTGCAACTCGCTGATCCAACATTCCCCACGAGTCACCGGCTGACCTCAAGCTGCTTTGGCAGGACACTCGTAGCGTCCTCCTATGAGCCTGTTGACCACAACAAAAACGTGGTGCACACACATCTAAAATAATTTGCTATACCGTATTTTCCGGACTGCAACTTGCGTTTTTTTATCTTCTGAAACGTGCTATTAATTATTTCCAACGTGACTTATTTAATGCATTAATGTCAAATAAGCAAAGCGTAAACACTTAAAAGTGTGCACTTCAAGGTTTATATAGCTAAATATATTTCTCATGTCTGTTTGACAAGTAGAAAATATCGCTGAGTTTTTCTTAATTTTAGCAAGAAGTTCACATATAGACCAAGACGGCAAGCGCATTTAGTTTTCTTTATTTTACAAAAGCACAATGTTTCACTGTCATTTTGAAGGTACACAAATAAAAAGACCGTTTTGAATGATGTCTTGCTCTTATCTGACGGATATCACATTTTTCCGCTGATATAAGGAATCCAAAGTGTTTGAGCTGGCACCTCCCGCGCGCACACAACAAATCAGTTCTAGCATTGCAGCTTGACATCACAGCCTCATCATCAGCAAACTAAATTTAACTTGTCTGTTGTACAATATGTAGGTTTTGCCGGTCAGCGTGAACTTTTTTTTTAGTGTGTAAGGGATGCTGTTTGTAGATATTCGGACACGAGAGAAGTACAAAGCCTTCTTTACATAATAAGTAGCCGAATAAAGCCCACTACGTGATTATGTTTAAGTTTTAGTAAGTAAGTTTAGTTTGTTATGGACACAGCCATAGGCTCAGATTTATTTTTCTGTAGGTGGGTGCAAAAAACGAGCATTTATTTCATTTTTTTTAATAAAACATTTTCACCACTGTTTCTACTAGTAAATGATAACCGGGCTAAGTTATCATACACATACAGTAGGCTTGCCGCGATAGACGGTGTTGACGGTCATACCGGTGTTAAGCAACACTCACTTGCCCACCGCGTCACCGACCCCCACCGTCGTTTTGATTTTTTATAGTAATAAAAATCATTTAGTTCGTAAAAGAACAGACACTACAATATAGAGTGAGGCGAGACAGACGAGAAGAGGCGAGACAGACGAGAAGAGTGAGTCGAGCTGACTGATGAGAAGAGTGAGGCGAGACAGACGAGACGAGTGAGGCGAGACAGACGAGACGAGTGAGGCGAGACAGACGAGACGAGTGAGGCGAGACAGACGAGACGAGTGAGGCGAGACAGACGAGACGAGTGAGGCGAGACAGACGAGACGAGTGAGGCGAGACAGACGAGACGAGTGAGGCGAGACAGACGAGACGAGTGAGGCGAGACAGACGAGACGAGTGAGGCGAGACAGACGAGACGAGTGAGGCGAGACAGACGAGACGAGTGAGGCGAGACAGACGAGACGAGTGAGGCGAGACAGACGAGACGAGTGAGGCGAGACAGACGAGACGAGTGAGGCGAGACAGACGAGACGAGTGAGGCGAGACAGACGAGACGAGTGAGGCGAGACAGACGAGACGAGTGAGGCGAGACAGACGAGACGAGTGAGGCGAGACAGACGAGACGAGTGAGGCGAGACAGACGAGACGAGTGAGGCGAGACAGACGAGACGAGTGAGGCGAGACAGACGAGACGAGTGAGGCGAGACAGACGAGACGAGTGAGGCGAGACAGACGAGACGAGTGAGGCGAGACAGACGAGACGAGTGAGGCGAGACAGACGAGACGAGTGAGGCGAGACAGACGAGACGAGTGAGGCGAGACAGACGAGACGAGTGAGGCGAGACAGACGAGACGAGTGAGGCGAGACAGACGAGACGAGTGAGGCGAGACAGACGAGACGAGTGAGGCGAGACAGACGAGACGAGTGAGGCGAGACAGACGAGACGAGTGAGGCGAGACAGACGAGACGAGTGAGGCGAGACAGACGAGACGAGTGAGGCGAGACAGACGAGACGAGTGAGGCGAGACAGACGAGACGAGTGAGGCGAGACAGACGAGACGAGTGAGGCGAGACAGACGAGACGAGTGAGGCGAGACAGACGAGACGAGTGAGGCGAGACAGACGAGACGAGTGAGGCGAGACAGACGAGACGAGTGAGGCGAGACAGACGAGACGAGTGAGGCGAGACAGACGAGACGAGTGAGGCGAGACAGACGAGACGAGTGAGGCGAGACAGACGAGACGAGTGAGGCGAGACAGACGAGACGAGTGAGGCGAGACAGACGAGACGAGTGAGGCGAGACAGACGAGACGAGTGAGGCGAGACAGACGAGACGAGTGAGGCGAGACAGACGAGACGAGTGAGGCGAGACAGACGAGACGAGTGAGGCGAGACAGACGAGACGAGTGAGGCGAGACAGACGAGACGAGTGAGGCGAGACAGACGAGACGAGTGAGGCGAGACAGACGAGACGAGTGAGGCGAGACAGACGAGACGAGTGAGGCGAGACAGACGAGACGAGTGAGGCGAGACAGACGAGACGAGTGAGGCGAGACAGACGAGACGAGTGAGGCGAGACAGACGAGACGAGTGAGGCGAGACAGACGAGACGAGTGAGGCGAGACAGACGAGAAGAGTGAGGCGAGACAGACAAGAAGAGTGAGGCGAGACAGACAAGACGATCGCGGATGATTCAGTTTCGAAACGAGATGCAAAAGCGCCTGTTTGGCAGTATTTTGTGTGTGTGGAGTGTGGATTTTGTAAAGCCTGTTGACTTTTGCCATTTATCTGAGGTGATTTTGGAAGTTTTTTAAAATAGGTGTATGCCGTGCCTCCAAGCTTTCTTACTCGTTTTGCTAATAAATGTTCTACGTTTCTTATTTATTTGGTTATATATTATAAATGTTTACTTATTGCCTATTTCCAGTTTT